ATCATAAATTCTGGATATAAGTCCCCTATCTGATATGTTATTACCGAATACTTTTTCCCAGTCAGTGGCTTCCCTTTTTATCCTGTTGGAGAAGTTTTTGGATGTGCATAGGGATTTGAGTCTTAGAAGATCCCATTCATCTACGTTATCTTCTCTTGGTTGTAGGGTGTTTGCTCTTTTGACCCTCCATGGGATATTCAGTACTATTCTCCATCATCACAACTCAAAGGCATTGATTTTTCTTTTGTTCTTATTCATTGTCTACCTTTCCATAATGCATAGATATAGGACAATAGAAAATACCATATTGGAGGTTGTTGTTATGTGCTATTGAGTTACCTGTAGTTCACAGCAACCCTATTTACAACAGCTCTGAAGTCTGCACTGTCCTGAGCCAGTCTCATTGACTCTTGACACACCTACCCGCATTGCCCCAGTTACTGTATCAATCCATCTCATCTGGGGTCTTCCTCTCTTGTGTTGTCCCTCCTCCCTTCTGAGCATGATGTCCTTCTCCAAAACGAGAACAGGAGCACGTGACCACATGCCTAAAGTGTGTGAGATGGCGCTTCAAAATCCTAGCCTCCAAGGAGAAGCTTGGTTTCACCCTCTCTAAGACAGACTGATTTGTTTTCTTGGCAATCAATGGCATGTTCACAAAACTTCTCCAGCACTGTAATTTGAAGGCATTATTCTTCTGTCATCCTTAGTCCTTGTCCTGTTCTCTGATAGATAGCAATTAATTGCGAATACCATGGCCTGGATCAGGCACACCTTGGTCTCTAGACAGACAACGTTGCTTCTTAGTCTTTTGGAGAGGTCCCTGACAGCAGATTTTCCCAGTGCAATTCTTTTCATTTCCTCACTGCTAGTGCCAAGAGTATTAATTGTCCAGCTGAGTAAGATGTAATTATTAACAAACTCAGTCTCTTCTCCATGTATCATGGTGCTGCCAGTTGACGAGAATATATGTGAAGACTATGGTCCTTGACCTTCCGCAGCAAGTGCTTCAGGTCCTCCTCAGTTTCAGCAAGCAGGGTTGTGTCATCTTCATAACATAGGTTGTTGGTGAGTCTTCTTCCAATCCCGATACCACATTCCTCTTCGTAAAGCCAAGCCTCCTGAATGATCTGTTTTACAGATTCTAACTAAAACACATAAAAATCCATATTTGGAGACAATACAATGTAAATATATATTTATACTAATGTCATTTGTTAACTTGATTCTGGCCTAATTTACTTGAAAAAACTATTGTATTTTTTGGGGGGGGGGTTAAAAATTTTTATTTTTTTAAATTTTATTATTTTGTGTGTGTGTGTCCCATCAAATCAGATCTGACTGGTACAGGAGGAGACTACCCCTCCTTCTCCAGCAGATCATCTGGTGGATTTGAACCACATAAAAAAGCAATGTATTGCTAACAAAAATTGTAATATCTGTTCAATGAAAGTGATTTGTTCTTTTGTAGTACGATGTATGATGTACGGGTTTGGAGATGACCAGAATCCTTACACTGAATCAGTAGACATTCTTGAAGATCTTGTCATAGAGTTCATCACAGAAATGGTAAGATTATTTTGTAACTGATCTTCTTGGTTAATTGAATAATAATGTGTGTTGTGTTGTGTGCCATAGAATCAGAACCTACTCATAGTTGACCCTCTGGCAGCTAATTGCACAGGAGGAGATTATCCATCCTTCTCCTGCAGAGCAGCTGGTGACCTCGAACCACATGCCTTTGGGATACTTGCCACTAGGATACCAGAGATCCCTGGTGCTCTGGTGAATAGAATTTGTTCTATGAAGAATAGGTTTGAAATTCTAAACTTCGATAGGACTGAAACGTAATATAACATTCTTTTGAAATAAGTTTTTTTGTGTCCTTGTTTTGTGGAATTACTGTTTAATAGGTCAGCAAAAGAGAGGAAGACAGTCAGTGAGGTAGCTTAACGCATCAACTGCAGCAATGGGCTCAAATATACCAGAGATGATGAGGATGGCACAGGATAGGACAGGGTTCAGATCTGTTGTTCACAGTAGTTGTACTAAACTCAGTGGTACATAAGTAGAACAGTTCCTTCGTTTGTAGGGAATTGCCCTGCAAAGCAAAAGCAATTTGTGATTTGCAAAGCAAACTACTATAATGGTTTGAATACACTGGTGCCTCCTAGGAAAAAAGATGGGCAGTCTGCTTCCCAAATGTACTGCCTCCAGATACTCATTAGACAATCTGCTGAGTCAGTTCTGACTTGTTAGTGGTGAATTTGAGGGTTTTTGGAGTATTTATCCTTATCCAAAAATGAGCAATTACCACTAAGCCAATTCCAACTCTAGGTGACCCTACATGTGTCCAGCACTTCCACCAACCAGGACTCCATTTATCATTCAGCATGTTGTATATGTATTGGGGTGGCTTTGTTTTGGGAGCCTTAGTAGTATAGTGGTTGAAGTATTTGAGTGCTAGCTGAAAGTTTGACAGTTCATACTCAGGGTGTGACAATCTTCTGCCATAGAGGTTATAGCTTTGAAAATGCTCTGGCAAATTCTGCTATAGGGTCACTGTGAGTTGAAAGTGACTTTATACCACTGGTTGAAGGTGTGTGTGTGTGTGTATGTGTGCGCGCGTGCGTGTGTGCATGTTCTGTCATCCTTCCCAACTGAATGCATCACCATCCCGTCAAAACTGACTCATAAGGGGAGCTCTGGTGGCCTAGTGGCAAGGAGCTGCAACTGCAATCCCAGAGGCACACGGTTCAAATCCACCAGATGCTCTGCCGGGAAAAGGAGGGACAATCTCCTCCTGTACCAGTCAGATCTGATTTGACGGTACACTCACACACACACACAAATAAAAAAAATAATTTAAAAAAAAAACCTGACTCATAGCTGACACTTGATGGGTTTTCAGAAGCTGTAAGTGTCACAGAAGGAGATTGTCCATTTTTCTCCTGACCAGCGGGGGATTTGAACTGCTTGTCTTTGAGTTGGCAGCACAACTTTTTTTTTCCTTGTTGTGTACAGTTAAGTTGGATCCAACTGGCACAGGAGGAGATTGCCCTCCTTTTCCAGCAGAGCATCTGGTGGATTCGAACTGTGTGCCTTTTGGATTGCAGCACAGCTTCTTGCCACACAGTCATCAGAGCTCCCTTCTTCACAACTGAAAATTAGAGTTATAAAATTCTTGAATAAAATTTAAAATGTGACCACAAGCAATAATCTATCATCCAATATAGATTTATGATTTTTTTTTAAAAAAAATGTATGTAATGTTTTATGTACTAGTGATCTCAGTAAACACTTTTTTAAAAAATAGAGCATTTATTGATGGACTATTCAAAATACATTTGTACAACTTAAATACTTTTTACTCGTAATTCTACAATGTATATTTTCTATCTTAGTTATTCTAGTATTCAAGGTTTTTTTCCAATTTGTGTAACCACTTCTCTATTTAAATTATTTCTAGATTAGTTTGTCTTAAACTGGACAATTACCTTTGAGTGACCACAGTTATGACCTTTTCTCCCCTTTGTATATGTTTTTGGAGGGGAGATTGCTGCCCTTAGTTTTTTATTTTTACAAGTTTTCACCCTGCATTTTAGATTTTATCCTTAGTACAGAATAATAGTAATAAAATAGGTAAGAGAAGATGCATTTTTAAAAACTTTTTTAAAAAAAAATTTTAATGCAACATTTTTTACAGCATATTCTTCCCATTTAATTTTTTTCTCATTCATTCATTCATTATTGCACATTTTCCTCCCTGCCCACCCCTCCCTCCTAAAAAACTTTTAAGAAAATTTCTATTAGTAATTAAAAATCTCAAACTCATTGTTAATGAGTTAAACTAACTCATAGGTGACCTTCCAACAGGCTTTCTGAGACTGAAAATCACACAGCGGGAGATTTGTCCCTCTTGCTTCCTTGGAGCTGCTGGTGGAGTCCGCATGAGATGTTTTGGGTCAGCAACACAACTCCCTAATGGCTGTGCTTCCCACCACAGTAATCATTGTTGCTGTGTGCTATTGAATCTGAACTGACTCATAGCGGACCCTCCCGTGGGTTTTTAGAGGCAGTAAATTGCATGAAAGGAGACTGTCCATCATTTTTCCCACAGAACAGATGGTGGATTCAAACCATGTGGCTTTGGGATGGCGGTACAGCTCCTTACCACTAAGCCACTTTTGCTTTCCTGTTTATTAGATAACAATACTATTGTAAATATTGTATTACTATAAAATATAATTAAGAAAATATATAAAGTTCAGGGAAGAAAAGAATTTTCTTCCTATAATAAAGTAATGGAAGGGAGCTCTGGTGGCCTAGTGGCAAGAAGCTGCACCGCAATCCCAGAGGCACACGGTTCAAATCCACCAGATGCTCTGCTGGAGAAGGAGGGGCAATCTCCTCCTGTACCAGTCGGGTCTGATTGGACAGCACACACACAAAAAAATAATAAAATTTTAAAAAAAAGAAGGTAATGGAGCACTTTCTCACATATCCTTTTCTAGATGGTAGTATTCAGTGCCCAACTGTTAAAGTAAAATAAAATTTGTTATCCTTCTATCAAGAGAAAGTCATGCTAATATTTAGATGACTGGCCTTTTTCCTTTTTTATTATTGTTATTTAAATACAAATTTTATTGTTGTAATGTGCCCTTGAGTCACCTGTGACTTACAGCAACCCCATGTACAACAGCTCTGAAGCCTGCACTGTCCTGAGCCACTCTCCCTGACTCGGACACACCTACCCTGTTGCCCCAGTGACTGTATCAATCCACCTTATCTGGGTTCTTCCTCTCCCAGCTGTCCCTCCACCCTTCTGAGCATAAAGTCCTTCTCCAAGGACTGGTCCCTCCTGTCTCCATACCCAAAGTATGAGACAGAGCTGCAGAATTTTAGCCTCCAAGGAGAAGCTTGGTTTCACCCTCTCAAAGACAGACCAGTTGTATTCTAGGTGTGTTCAAGACTCTTCTCCAGCACCACAACTCAAAGTCATCACTTGCTTCTGTCATCATTAGTCTTTTTTTTTTTACCTGTTTATAACATTGGGGTCAATATATAGTCTTAGAGCTTGCCTTTTCACTGAGGTACATTTAGAAAATTTTCCCCATTATCACTTCATAATATTCTTAACATATTTAATGTTTCTATTACATTAATTGAATAAGTACACTCAAATTTGTTTATCTAGTGTGTTGTTACTAATTTCCATTTTTTTGCCATTAGCGATAGCACTTATTTTTTGCAGAGGATAAGTTTATAGTGATAGGGAGTAAGACTGATTTATTTACTTTTAGGAATAATCAGTAATAGTGATCATTAGATGAGAGAGGGTTGAAAGCATAAATGAAATGGGTACTTGTAAAGAAATAAATTTTTAAATTATTTATGCAGATGAAGAAAATTAAATTACATTTCTTTTAAAAACAAACCAATAAAATTGAGTTTTAATGTTTTTGCCTGTGAAGTATTTTTGTAAAAGTCTTGTTAATATGTCAGTAGAAAAGAGTCAATGGACTTGAATAGAAAGATATTTCAAAAATAACTATAATAGAAGGGAGTTCTGGTGGCCTAGTGGCAAGAAGCTGCACTACAATCCCAAAGATGTTCACTTTTAATCCACCAGATGCTCCCCTGGAGAAGGTGGGGCTATTTCCTCCTTTGCCAGTTTGACCTGATTCAACAGTATACATACAAAAAAAACCCCCAAAACTGCAATAGAAGTCTCACCAGTGATATAGAAATGCAAATTAAAACAGCATTGTCTTTTTTTACAATTAAGTTTCTTGTTTACTTTTAAATAGACTCACAAGGCAATGTCAATTGGAAGACAAGGTCGAGTACAAGTTGAAGATATTGTCTTCTTGATTCGAAAGGACCCAAGAAAGTTTGCTCGAGTTAAAGACTTGCTTACTATGAATGAAGAATTGAAAAGAGCTAGAAAAGCATTTGATGAAGCAAACTATGGATCTTGACAAATTTTGTATTTTCTGAAGCTTCATTATCTTCTGTGGAAACTGTAGTAACTATATGTCTTCTGTGATATTCTGATATCTAACCATGCAAATGAATGAAAAGTGGAGAAACACAAAATTTGCAGCCTTTTTTTCTCATGTCTTTGATTTTAGACTGGTATGTGAGCCTGCCTTTATATTATGTACTTGAAATACTGGGTTTTACTGATCATACATAAGTTAAATTGCTTTCTGATTTTTTACTATCTAAATGACAGTAATATTTATGTATTAAGTGTCTTTGTGCTATTGTAGGCTATACTGTAGCTATTTAATCTGTGAAATCTAAATGGTACCTTTGATCCTGTGATAGCAGAGATATGTTTCATCTATTCTCAAATTTCTGAGTAACCTGAGAGATTGTATAAGTGAATTGGTTTGTATTTCCCTTAAACAGAATTTTTTTTTTCTTTTTGAGGGGGAAGAATTTCATTTGAATGTCTCAGTATTGAGAGGCTTTTTTATTTAAAACCATTGTGGGTTGTATATTTGTCAAAATTTAAGAGAAGTCATTTTTCCAAATAAGATTAAGTCTTCTAAAGGTAAATACTTTCATTATCAGGAATGACATAACTTAAAAAGCTGATTGGTGGGTTTAAGATTTAGGATAATGTTTTATTAACATACTTGTTAGTACTTGTTCATTGTGAAAATGTATGCTTGACTAACATCATATATGGCTGTAGAAACTGCTTTTGTAGTTTGTGATAGACAAGTTTTGTGTGTATTTAGGTATATTGTATTAAATGTTATTGCACTTAGCTTAAAATAAAGATTGACATTTTATTTAAAGATATCACTGATTTTTTTTTACTATTTGTGAAACTTAATATTTTTTGCAACATTTATAAGCATTTATAAATGCAACATTTATCTATAAATCAGAACTTAGGAAAATTCAACTTTCTTACCTGTTGATATAAGAAATAAAGTATGACAACTAAATGAATGCTTGAATTTGACTATTATTTTTATCTTTGTGTCCCTCCTCCCCATAATATCATTCGTATTACTGGTTATGTGATAATTCTAACTGCTTAATCTTGGTAAAAACTTTTTCTTCTACCTTGTAAATGTAATTGAGTTGAAAATTTAATTAATGCATTGCTAGGTTGATATTTTTTAATAAAGAAAACAAACTGAAAAGCTACACAAGTCTAAGATTAGCTAAAATCAAGAATATTTGTTGTTGTTATGTGCCATTGAGTCACTTGCGACTCATAGCGATCCTCTGCACAAGAGCCCTAAACGCCACTATATCCTGTGCCAACCTCGCCGTCTCAGACACATTCATTCCCACCACTCCACTCACAGAATCGATCCATCTCATCGAAGCTCTTCCTCTCCTGCGCTGGCCCTCCACTCTGCCAAACATGATGTCCCTCTCCGAGGACTAGTCCCTCCTTGCAACATGCCCAAAATATGTCAGATGAAGCTTCAGAATCCAATATTTTAACTAGTTGATTCTGCTAATCAAGGCCTGGTCACCCTAAAGAAGGAGTTGGCAGGAAGTAGCATGAGTGAAATTACACAGGAGTCATTACTCTGTTTCTAGGTGCCCCTAAGTAGAGGGTCAGGGTCAATAGGCAACACGTGACAGATGGAGAAAAGATTGAAGTTTCAACAATTTCATCTTACTTGGGTTCCCAATCAATATCATTGGTACCAGCAGTCAAAAAATCAAAAGAAGTCAAGGATTCTGAAGCTTTGTCTGACATACTTTGGGCGTGTTGCAAGCAGGGACTGGTCCTTGGAGAAGGACAACGTGTTTGGGAGAGTGGAGGGATGGTGCAGGAGAGGAAGACCCTCAATGAGATGGATCAATTCTGTGAAGGGGGTTGGAAATGAGTGTGTCAGATATGGTGAGGTTGGCACAGGATAGAACAACATTTAGGGCTCTTGTACGTGGGGTCGCTATGAGTCTCAAGGAACTCAATGGCACATAACAACAACAACAACAACAACAACATAAATCTCTTGGGAGGAGACTGCCCATTGTTCGCCTGTAGTTGGTGGATTTGAATCACCAGAGAAGTTGGAACCATTTAACAAGATCCAAGTGGATGGAGTTAGCCTAGTAGCACCATTTCCTACAGGCTAAAAGCTCCCTGAACAAAGACAGGGAAATACAAACACGGGCAAAGATGCCCTGGAACCAAGGAATGCTGGAAGAGACAAGGATCTTTCCCAGAAGAGACTAGGATCTTTCCCAGAGATAGAGAAGAGAAACTTTCCCTAGAGCCAGTGTCCTGAATTTGAAATTTGAACCTTCTGAGTTGTGGGAAATGTATTTTCTCACCTAAGTTATTTCTGTAATAGCAGTACTTGGAAGCTAAGACAACACCTTCCAGACCTTGCTCCTGAATCTTGCCTTTCAATTTCCACTTTAATTTGACAATACCCATTTTTGGCATTGTCTTTGTCTCTTTAAGATAACTTTGCAAATCTCTGCTCTAAGTTTTTTTTTTTTTAAATGTAATAAGGAATTTATTGGATTTCTAAATATAATAAAGTAGTTGCAGTTTCTGCTCTAAGTTTTGATCTTATAGATAATTCAACGTGAGCAGGGTTAATTCCAGATGCTTTATGTGTTGCTTATCAACACTGATAACACTATTATTCCTGAAAATCAAAATCCAAAAACTCATTGCAGTCAAGTTGGAACCAACCATAGCTGACTTCACAGAAGATTTTGGAGGTGGTATCCCATGGATTGCCAAAAGAACAAATACATATGTCTTGAAGAAGGTGCAGCCAGAATGCTTTTTTGGAGACAAAGATGAAGCTTCATCTCACAAACTTAAGGCATATTGCTAGGAGAGGCTATTCCCTGGAGAGGGACAACAAGCTTGGAAAGGTGGAGGAAAGGCAAAAAGGAGAAAGACCCTCAGCCAGATGGATTGACACGGTACTTGCAGCAATGGGCTCAAATATCTCAGAGATTGTGAGGATGGCACAGGATAGGTTCCGATCGGCTGTTCACTGTCACTGTGGATCATACTGGACTCCTAACAGCACCTAACAACAACAACACAATAAATTATACAGAAGGAGATTGCCCATCCTTCTCCCTCAGAGCCACTCTTGGATAAAACTAAGAAACTTTAAAACTCTATGAAAAAGCAATGCAGCGGGAGTGGAAGCAGTAGTTTGACTTCCACTACACAAGGGCGCAGAATCCCAGTTAACAATAGTACAATGCTGACTCCTATAAGGAAGGTCAAGCATGTCTCCTTCCACTTCTCCCCTCACCCCTCAACCCTTATACTACCAGTTTTGACCCTAACCATCTTTTCTATAACTCTAGTTATGCTACTCCTGGGTTATTTCATTGCAATGGTCTAACCGAAAGAACTTAGACAAGGCTCACAATACGAATTTTGTTGTTGTTATGTGGCATCAAGTCGCTTGAAACTCATACAGACCCTATGTACAACAGCCCTAAACCCTGCTCTATCCTGTGCCAATTGTACTGCCTCTTACACACCCATCCCGATTACCCCAGTCACTGAATCAATCCACCTCATAGAGGGTCTTCCCCTCTTGCGCCGTCCCTCCACCCTCCCAAGCATGATGTCCTTCTCCAAGGACCGGTCTCTCCTTACAACATGTCCAAAGTATGTCAGTCGAAGCCCCAGAATCCTTGCCTCCAAGGAGCAGCCTGGTTTAACCCTCTCCAGGATGAATCTGTTTGTTTTCTTGGCAGTTCAGGGTGCATTCAATACTCTTCTCCAGCACCAAAGCTCAAAGGCATCAGTTCTACTTTATCTTTCCTAGTCATTGTCCAACTCTCTGATGCATAACAAGTGATTGCAAAGACCATGGCCTGTATCAGATGCACTTTAATCTCCAGAGTGACACCATTGCTCTTCAGTACTTTGGAGAGGTCCCTAATAGCAGACTTTCCTATCACAGTATTTTTTTTTAATTTCCTGGCTACTGGTACCAAGAGTGTTGACCATGGAGCCAAGCAAACTAAAGCTGTGAACAATCTCAATCTCTTCACCATCCATTTATGCTACCAATTGGTCCAGTGGTAAGAATCTTTGTCTTCTTGCCATTGAGTCTCAATCCATACTGAAGGCTGCAGTATTTTGTTAGGGAAGTAATATTATAATTTAGGTTGAAACACTCAGTATAATTCTTGAATCATTACCACCTCTTTTCAGCTGTATTCTTAGTTAAGGTTTCTCTCTGACCAGCAGCTTTTAGGTTTTGGACTCTGGCGCGTGCATGAGCTCATTTACAAAGCTGTTTTTGTTGTTATTTGCTGTTGAGTTGCCTGTGACCCATAGCAACCTTATGTACAGAAGCTCTGAAGCCTGCCCTGTCCAGAGCCAGTCTCACTAATTCCGACACACCAATCCCTATTTCCCTTATCACTGTATCACTCCATATCATCTGGGGTCTTCCACTCCTGCGCGGTCCCTCCATCCTTTTGAGCATGATGTCCTCCAAGGACCAGTCTCTCCTGGCCACGTGCCCAAAGTATGTGACACAGAGCTTCAAAATACTAACCTCCAATCAGAGATTTGGTTTCACCCTCTCCATGACAGACTGATTTACTTTCAAGTCTCTTCTCCAGCACCACAATTCAAAGTCATCTATTCTTCTGTCATCCTTAGTCATTGTTCAGTTCTCTGATGCACAGCAAGTAATTGTGAAGACCATGGCCTGGATTTGGCACACCTTAGTCTCTAGACTGACATCATTACTTTTCAGCACTCTGGAGAGGTCCCTGACAGCAGATTTTCCCAATGAAATTTGTCTTTTGATTTCCTGACTGCTGGTGTTAAGAGTGTTGATTGTGGAGCTGAACAAGCTGTAATTGTTAACAACCTCAATATCCATCTATCCATTGTGCTGCCAATTGGCTCAGTGGTGAGAATCTTTGTAAGGCCAATTATGTACCACCTCCACTCTGCCAGTCGATAAGCCTGGGCTTTAAGGTGCTTTGTTGTAGCTCAATGGGTAGGTTGACTTAGCTCAGCTCTGGGACACATAGCTCTCTGGTTCTGTACTTCTACTGCCATTGTCACTGCTCCTGTATTGCTGTTGCTGCGTCTTCTTCTCACTCTGTTTTGTACAGTAATCTCTGGCCCAAAGGGCA